ACTAAAATAAACAATATATGGATATAATATTATCAAAATTGGGTGTTATATCGGATGTAGATCATTTTCTTGACATACGGAAACTCGTGTGGGATGGGCCGTAAATTAATAGTTAAATTTTGATTTATATTCTTGTATAGATTCTTTAATGAGCTTGGGTTTATTAGTAATAAATACTACATTTACGTGTACCTATCTATTCTCTTTCTCTAAATCTAATTAATAAATTCTTTTGCGTGTATTTATTAGTTTGTAAGTTTCTTTACGCAAGGTTTTTTTCGTTTTCTAGTACGTATTAATTAAAATTACATATTTTGATTGGTTAATGATCACGGGAAATCAGGTAGATTTAGATTTACAAAAATTAACCAATACGAATGTCTGCCCATGAGATTTACAGCTAGTATACAATAAAATTCATGGCGATTAAATTTATTAATTTATTATGTGACTAAATTTCTTAATATATATCGATATATGATTATACTGTATGTTATATAATTTATATACAAAAAGGAATGAGGTATACGTGGCTCTCGATATAACGGACCATCGATATAACAGATATTGCTTAATACGGAGAATTATAATAGAACCAAATTATGATTTATAATACTGATACGTATATCATGAGATTTTGATATTACGGATCTTTTGATATAATGGAGCAAAAGACTCGAACCATGGCCTCCGTTATACCGAGAGCCACGTGTATATGCATTCTAATTTCCCTGTTACAATGACTCTTTATTCGTGTTGTGAGTTACTAGTACCACAAAAAATTGTTTAAATTTAAATCATATTATGATTTAAAAATTATGTCTCATTCGACGTTTTATTAAGCATTTGTAATCTAATAGTTCATCGTCTCGACCTTCTCCTTGTTGTTCTTACATCAGATAAGCTTTGATAACTTCCATCGCTATCTGATCCATCGTTTTCTGGCTTTTCTTCATTACTAGCCTCTTCCATTTCTACAATTGTTCTTTTCTTAGGTTGAGATTTTCTCTTTTTTGCAGGTGATTTCGTTATTTCAATGTCATTAATGGGTGTTGACCTCTTCAAACTAGGCGACGAACTCTCACTGTTAGCATAAGAATTATTGACATCCTCATCACCAAATGACTGTGTAATATTACTACTCCTCGGCTTACAGACAGTTAAAGTTGCAAACCCTTCGTTATTTTCTTGGTTTTCGGAATTTGAATCAACATGATAATCCTTTGTATTACGTCGACTATCTGACGTTCGTCGCCTCTTTTTATTATTTACGGTGCGTTTTTTACTTGACTCGCTAACCGGTTGTTCTAAAATTGAGTATTAGTCGAATAAGCAGCCAATACTTTATTTCAAAAGTTCAATTATAATGATAATAGTATCACCTTTTCTGGCGCCACCTTTGGCCAAAATATTATTTATCTTTTGTATGTATAAACAATAAGGTTCCCATAACTTCTCTGATTCGACTACTTGTATTTTATTCTTTTCGAATTCTTCTTTAAGGATAGACTCACTAAAGCAGAAAATTATATCTATAAACATTTTCAAGCCAAGTTTTTCATCAATCTGATAAACCCGAATTAGTACTTACATTTTTTGCGCATCATTACAAGCTATTCCGCCAAATAACCTAGACAGAATCCTAAAGAACTGAATAGATTTTTCAAGGCATTCTTTACCCTCAGCATCGTTTATAATCTGATATGCATTTATCAATGAACAAATATGCTGAATCCCAGAGCGATGTAGCTCTACAACATGGTCCATATCTTTATGGGATGATTTATCTGAAGTATCTCGCAACTGTAGTGTATTAGCACATATGCGAACAAGCGACATAGTTGCATTCATTGTTCTAACTTTCCCATCCACGTATAAAAACTGAGACTGTTAACATAAAGAATGCGTGTATGAATTTAGTAATAGAAGAGAATGTTGAACATTTGAAGATATCAATGGCGTACCTTTCTCAGTGTTTTCATACAAACGGATGCGAATAATTTGGCATCATCGCCTGATGATATTCTCTCTTTAAATTCTAGTAGAAGTTTTTTGATCACATCATCAAGATCACACCCAATGGTTCCGTAATTACAAATAACAACTGCTGCGTGCGAGACGTTAAGCCAGCCGCCTCTGACACCCCGAAGGAGGGTACCAATAATGTCCATAATTCGAATTTTTTCTTCAGGATTAATAAACATCTCTACGTTTCTCGCTAATAAAATAAAAATTGAAAAATAACGTTAAGACTTACGTTTCTGAAAATTACCAAAGTATAAAATAACATACATCTTTTTACAGGCTTTTCACCATCTTGTTCACTTGTTTCTTCTTCTTCTTCTTCCTCTTTTCTTATTTCTTGTTCGAGTTTTGATTCTGCTTCAGTATAAGATTCCCTGAAGCTCGCAATTTCTTCTTCAACAAAATCTGCAATTCTATCTTGCAGTTCCGACTGACAAGGTAGCTTTAATTCGGACAGATTTGTACCGTTCGAATGGTGAAATATATCGCTTGCAAATAGCCAATATATGTTACCGATCGTTCTGAATGCCTGGTATTAACACATAAATAAAATGTAGTAACATGAAAAGGAAATACCGTAAAATCAAATAATGCATTTATATCATACCGTTGATTTAACACAAGGTAATGCTTGAGATCCATATGATATACCAACTTCACATAATGTCTGTCGAATTTGATCTCTTTTGCCGATTAGATCGTTTAATACATCGAGGGATATATCTTCTACAACTGCTTCGCTTGGAGAAATGTTTGCGACTTTCCATAAGATATAGTACCAAAGAAAATTAATTGTCGATAACACGATCTGATACAAAAAGGAATTTATTATATTAATTGTATAATTCAATAACAAATTTCAAGTACCACATTGAAAAAAACACAATACCTTTTCTTCTTCTACATTTCCCAGCAATCCTCTTCTGACTAACCGTATAATGCAATTATAAACGTTCTGGTTATTCTCATCGCATATTTCTACAGCATCAACAAAATTCACAACTGTAATTAATTGCTCTAAGCGACTCAGCGCTACACAAAGTGAATGGATTTGATCGCTAGTAAGATCCATCGTCGATATCTCCTTAGTCTTAATTATAAATTAAAAGATTTAGTTTCTCTTTTTAATAGCAGATTATTGAAATATGCAATATACCTTATTTTCACATTCACCAAGGAATGTCTTGATTACTTCTTCCTGTAATTCACCAAGTCTTGTCTCTGTCATTGATGCGAAATTTTTATATTGTTTCATATGTTGAAATGTTGCGGCAGCATGAGAAAGAACAACTGGATGTGTGTGTTTGAGATAAAGTTTCACTATATCGTCAACAAGTACCTCATAGGCCTATTAAAATAAAAAACGGTTATCAATTGCTGCTATTTATTCTAAAATTTTAGAGAGAGATTGAAGGTCTGCGATAAATATTCTAACCTTGTGAATTCGCAGATCGGAATATACGTCCATATTCATCAATAAAGGTATCCGTAGCACCTCAGCTATTCGACCCGCATCAGGTGCATATTTTGTCAAAAGTTTTGGTAAAATTGTCACCATATTCCTTGAAATTTCGTCACGCGTTTCATCGATATGATTTTCCACCTGAGAAATTAATTAATTCAATATATTAATAATGTTGAGAAAATTACGATCAGTGTTTAAAATATATGCGGATCTGTGGTACGCAGATTGGAAAATTAATTCCGCAAGTAAAATTTTCTTCAAATCTGCGGATTTTATTATGCTCCACACATGTCACGCATTCTTTTTTTGAAAATTTTATTAGGCTTACAAAAATTATCAAACTTTTCCGCATATTGAAACAAAATTGAATTTTAAACACTGATTACAATGCGAATAATAAAAAAACAAACCTTTTTTTTGTCTTTATATGCATTGTCTGAAAGAATCAATTGCAAACATTTGACAAAAACTTGTATTAACACGGATTCTTCCTGTTCGCTTAGACGATAACACTCTTCAATAGTATCAGCGCTAATACCACCACCCTTGGGTGTTCGACTTTGGTTTATTAAAGAATGATCTTTAGAAAGATAGTCTGCTAATTTTTGCCATTGGTGTAAAAGATCCAGTTCTGTCCAAAGATCTTGAATGGCCAAACTTATTCTACTATTCTCCACATCACCAATACTTTGTGTTAGAATACCATCTTCAAATTCTTCTTCTTCTTCCATTTCATCGTCCATTCTATCTTCTTTTTGTGCATCATCTATAACTTTGGCGTACTTAACCAAAAATTCCGCCAAACATTTGAACTCAACCCATTCTTTTTTTGCAGTATACATCGCATTACCACTACCATTTACACGTTTTCGTTTAGTACCACCATTAGTTGCTAAGAAAGTTTGAACTTTTAACATTTTTTCCCGTATAAAATCGACCTCGAGAGTCTCTTTCACGAAAGGTGCGATTGCTTTTCTTATTCTTGTTATATCACAATATATGAGAAGTGACAACTGATCACAATCTTCAGTATCCAGCATTTTAACTTTATGAATTATAGTGAGCATTTGAATGCTGGCTATGCGAACGTTCATATCTATTTCCCTTAGAGCCATTTCTAACAATCTAGGTTTGAACCGTGAAGTAAAATTCCGCAAACCGTTTACAAATTTTTCATTAATATAAAGTAGTTCTAAGACTTTTAGTGACTCTGACCGCACTATTGGGGACTTGTAGTAAAAATTTGTCAAATCATCATATCAAAGCATATATATTATCAAGAATTATATTATTACTCTCACCTTATCAGACAACTGCCAGCCTAAATATCTTATATTTGTATCATCCAGAAATCGACTAGGATACTTAGAGACCCATATGCCTAACTCTTTTATACATTCTGCTCGAATTATTGCTTCAACATCTCGATAACGGTGAACAAATACACTAAGAGGTGAAATATAATAATCAGATATGATCAATAATAAGTACATTAAAATAAACAAATGGATGCAATGTGTGTTAAAATGTGTTACCTGTCGAAAAGATCCTCAAAATACACATCTAATTGTCTTTTTTTTTTATCCAAATCCTGAGTTTTTGACTGTAACTCATTAATTCTGTCCATATTTTTAGAATTTCGAGGTGACTTGGTTCTTTTCTCAACACTCAACTGACGAGATGCAATGGTCCACGAATTATGAACTTCTTGAGCAAGTTCACAAAGACAGCTAAAAAGATGAAGAGCAATGATAGTTGCTGTATGTCTGAAAGGACGGAAAGAGGAGCTAATAATATAAAGTAATTATATAAAATAAATATGATAACAAATTAGGTACAGAGATGATATTAATTTGAAAAATATTGAATTATAAAAGTTTATGAGGTTTAGCCCACCTTGACATAGGAACTACCCATATTTGAATGGTTTCAAAAAATACACCGTCATATAATACATCATGTTTTACATGGTCTATAAGCTGTCTAAAAAACGTTAAAAAATTCTTTTTAAATTTTCTGAATTCTCTGGATTTTGAAATTAATGGATAATCAGCCACAAGTTCCTAATTTTGAAATAGGTTAAAAAAATTAAAGTTCAAGAATAAACTTAAAGAATAAAATAAGCTAGGATGTAATTTACTTTTTTGAAAGCATCTTGTAACTCTTCCAGGACTTGAGGTATGGCATCATCATCTTCAAAGCCCTCCCTCGCTATAATTTCAGAACATCCACAAGACTGGCATATAATAATTTTTGTATTAAAAATTTTTTTTGTTTAATAGTATGCCTGTGTTCCAAGTTCTATAACAAACTAGATGTGTGCACAATTACAAACCCGAATGATAAAATTAATCAACGACAATAGTGAGTTGGTATGATTATCGGTTTCTTCTTTATACATGTTTACCCAATCTGAGGCGACCCTGTCCAAAGTGTCGCCTTGATCAATAATCGCCTCTGAAAATGGAACAAATATGAGACTCTCAAGTTATTTTTAATCAATTCAACGTGGTGCTCATTCGCGTACCATAAAGGGAAAGCCCACTCTCTTCGAAAGGTTCGCGAGAAAATCCGTTTGTACTCATGATAGTATGATCGCGTAACTAAGAAATAAAAGACTGCGTATTTATCGTCGTTGCCCTCGTTACATTTTGTCTCCTTGATCGACCAATCAAATCACGAGGCAAGGTGTAACGTGAATACATTCGTTTTTTATTAAATTAAAAACATAGTGCAAGATGAATGCTACATCCTGGTCTTAGTTAGAATCTAGACTAGGATTAGAGGACAATTAATTAACAAAACTCCTGCAAGAAACCTTTTATTAAACGCAAAAGATAGTTTTATAAAAAAACTTAGAATTACAGACGATATTTTGACAAAAAAACACGGTTGTTTTGATTTTTATACACGATCTCGAGATTTGATTGGTCAATCAGAAAAACGCGACAAAAAAATGTCTACTTCAATAGGTTAACTGATGATTAAACAGATCTCGATATATTAATCCAACTTTGGTCATCATTATGCTTAATTATAACAACCGTATATGTGTATTTTAAAGTCATCATTTTTCATAAATTAGAAAACTGAGAAAGCGAAAATAATTTGAAGGCGCATCAAAAATTAATAATAATATATATTTTTATAACTTTATAATTCGAAAAGCCGGACTTTATTAATTTATGTATGCGTTCGAAAATGAAAATAACAAATAATATAGCATACCAGATACATAGTATTCTTAGGACGAAATACAGTCTACCCTCGTTTATATCAACTCATTTGAATTGGTTTAAATTCATGTTGATATTGATATTAACAAGGGATTATATTAAAGTAAATATATATAAAGGAATTTAATATATAAAAATTTGTAAAATTCGTCTTATGACTTAGGTTGATATTAACGAGGGTAGACTGTATTACAAATTTAGTAATAATAAATATATATAATTATGATAACTTATCAGATATCGTATTTAGTTATTTTTACGTAGCATAAACAAATAAATAGATTATATAATTATAATTCAGTATCATCTTCATCCCAATCAAAATCGCCAGCTACTTCACTTTCTTGATGCAGTTTTGTTAACCCAGTTATTTCTTCCAAACAAGCAGGAGAATCAAAAACTCGTTTCAAAAATTCAAATCCCTTTGTATTATATTCATTCAACACCACTTCCGAGCAAGCCGTGCAACGTTCATAAGCTTGTCCCACAATAATCATATTATTAAAATGAGTTAAAAATCCTCGCATTTGATGCGGTATAATTCCCAAAGGTGATGAAGCACTAAGCTCGGAGTGAGATGTAGGCTCGGCGTTTGTATCAGCAGGGGCGGCCGGTCTATCAATACGATGATAAATATTTTGTTAACTAATTTTATCAATTAATTACGAAATATAAATGTACAGTACCCTTTTTCATGATGCAGGACGGACACCATCAATTCGACAGCATATGCAGAAGCAATGGCAGATAAACCAGGTCGAGTTACTGTACATTGCTGGTCAAGAGTACGATCCTTGAGAGAATCTGTTGGTGCTACTACATCGTTACAGAAATAGCAACCCAACTGTTTCACCGACGGCATTGTTTTATCAGAAGAGTCAGTTGTTTGACATTCTGAATCATCTTTTACACCATGTCGCATTACCACATAGGTATCAAACCCTAAGGCAGCATTTATAACGAGCTACGATAAAAATATTAGATAAATTCTGATATAAAAACACTCGATACAAATATATCGCGTGTACAATAATTAAATAATTCAGTTAACTACAAACCTTACGCATACTTGCACCTAATAACGTGGGTAACCATCGACTCTCCCGGCTATCCATTAATAAAAATATGACATCATGTGATTCGATAAGCTGAGTGAGCTTTTCCACATCAGCTTTGACTTGAGATTCTGAAGTGATAGGATGACCTGGCATTGGAATACTTATTTCGTGGCCCTCGCTTACCTAACGTAAATAATTATATAATTTATTGTGGTGTTACTATGATATAAAAAGTTCATTAGCTAACATTTATTAAGTCATACATACAACACTAGGGTGTATTTTTTTCAAATTTTCAGCGGCTGCACGTGCCTTTGGTTTACCACCTTCTAAACAATCTTCAAAAAAGAACAATGATTGTCTGACAGGATTGGAAAAAGAAACACGCGCGTTATCGACAAAAGTTATATGTCGAACACCCCATCCCTAATAAACACTACCAGATTAGCCGTAGCTGTTGGTATCATGTTAAAAAAATAAGTACAGATAAATATTGTTCAATTACCAACAAACACTTGGCGACATTACAACCAAGAGTTCCGGCGCCAAGTAACAGACATTTTGTATCTTTGATTTTTTCTAATTGTAAATCTGGAACAATACGCCATCGCATTAACTTTAAATTTAGATCAACAGAAGTATCAGAGAGCCTATTATGGTTTAATTAAAACATAGTGGCATATAGGAAAAAAAAAAAAAAAAAGACAAATTGAATCAATGAAATTGTAAATAAATAGGTTGCAATGAAAATTAATTCACAAACTTTATTGGATCCATCATATGGGCAAGATCGACTGTGCGTGGACCAAGTTTACCCGACATATTTTTCTCCCATCCTACAGCTTTTGGACATTCATCTAATAATCATTATAATTAAGAATTTCTATTGAATTAATTGAAAATTTTTTATATTTATGATTGAAAATCATAAGCATTGCTCACCGGGAATTATCGTTGTGTCAGGGATCTCTATGGTCAAAATGCGGCTGTTTATTATATCTTTTTTACTTGGGATTTCTCTATAACATATCACTTTGATTTTGTGTACATTCCAATGACGTTTCAGTAATACTAAAAAGTTTCGAAGAGGCCACCCAGGATTGGTAGGTAAACTTGATGGATCAGCAAACCCTACTATTCTCTAATTTGATGCAATGATATACGATATAAAAAAAAAATTCAAATTTTTCATAAATAAATATGCATATATATATATATAATCCACAGTACCTCTTCATCATTGCATCCATCGAAAAATGTGTCCCATTCCGACAAACTACCAATTGCTATTTCTTTGTTGCTAAGTTGTTTAACAAGGAAGAATCCTGTACAAGAGCCAGATTGTGTTTGCCTGAATTTATCATAATTTTCTCTCAAAGCTTTGATCTATAGAAAAAACCGCAGTAGGTGGTAAAAGTGATAAAAAATGAGCAAAAAATGCAATAAAAATCTAATAAATAATCCAGCATATTAACTGACCTCTGTACTGTCCCATAATTCATCGATGCCTTTGACATCATTATTTACAATAACCCATGGTGGTTCAGTGAGTAATGCAGGAAACCCGAACCAATAATGATATTTGTATTTTTTCAAATCGGCAAAGGTGACAAGAATAAACCGTGTAAGAAGGTAAGGATCTTTTACAGCAGCACCAGAAATGATATCTTGCCAAATCTATTTACCAAATTTAACAAGAATAAATAAAATGATTGATATTTTTTGTGAACAAACACAAAAATGAACTTTTTAGGGAATATCGGGACATATATTAAGTCTTACTTGTTCGGCTGTTTCCTTAAACAAAGCATTTTTATCAAGTTCTTTGAATTCTTCTATAGTGTTTGTATTCTTTATTGCACCCGGTGAAGGATAAGAGAAAGGTGGTAGACTGCGCAGTAAGTATGGTTTAAACAAAATTACGCGTCTGCTACGTAACTAATAAGAAAGTCACATTCAGTAATTTGATATTTTAGACTTACTGAGAAAACGAGGTGGCGTCAGTATCAAAAGCCCCAGTCCCGAGATATAGACGAGCTGGCATGGAAATGTTGGTTTCGGTATCATGCTGCGATCGTATAGAGTAACCAACAGAATAGTACCCTAAAATTCTTTGTGATGTATCGTCTAATTTATATAGGTCAATTTTGCGCGTAGATAAAGTATGCCAAAATGGAGCTTCGACGGCTGATGAAAATGGCACAAACTGAACAAGGTTGGGAGACATTTTGACTGATTTCCAACAACCTTTTCCTATATATTTCTGTATTTAAAATAAGCTTTAACCAATTAGATCCGCAGTTGGCCCTCTAAATATGGGATCTACTGTTATCGCGAGATCGTCCACTGATTGGTTGATTGTCAAATGTAAAAAAAGTGACACAGTCAGATCTTTAGACAAAGGCAGAATTATTCATTCACGAAAAGTTACGAAATGTTAGCTGTTAACGTTTTGTTAATATTCCCTTTGCAAGCATAATAAATAAAGCTTTAACATTATTCAACTAGGAAAACAGGTGCTGTTGTAAATCCGGAACGAATTAAAAAATTGTTCAATCACGTGGGCGGACAAACGGACAAATTCTGCTCAGAAGTATGTCCAGGATTATGTTGCGACGTAATATCGGTGTTGCATATAATTGTATAGTCAATACCATGAAAGACGTTGCGTAGACCAAAAAAAAAGGAAAAGCGTATAGTATACATATATGTATGGAGTTTTTTTAAAAAAAAGAGCGTATAGTATACAAATACTGTATGTATAAAAAAAATGTAAG